TGTAAAAAAATTTTTTTATGTGTTTCACACCGTGTGTAAAATCAATTGTGTAACATCAACGTTTCCTCCTGTTGTAACTTTCATTTTTACTGCTTTAAGCACCATATAACTTAAGTATCAATTTTGTTATAGTGTACGTCAATCTTAAATTATAATTTTAAAAGTACGATATAACTTAGTTGCTGTTCGGATAGTTTTTCAAAATTTTAGCTCAACTTGCTCGTAGTTTAACAAAAATACCGTTCCTGATGGATCATCGGTACTGTTCCTGATAGAGTAAGAAACAAATATCGATTTACATACTATTCTTAATAAGGTTTTAAAAAAGGGCCTCTAAAATATTATACTATAGCGAAGTATATGATTAAGGGATCGTTTTTAAAACCCTATCAGGAACTACTCAAATAAACGGTATTTTTGCTACGACAATCCTTTAAACATATATTCAGAGTTCTCCTAAAATACTTTAGGAAATTTTTAGGTTCTAATACTTGTCAAACTAGTACTAGTGCTAGCACTAGTCGTTTAACTGGCTAATTTATAAAAATTTTTAGAATAGAATGAACAAAAATTTTAAGTCTTTTCGAATAGACACAAAGTCTAGTACAAAGTACATTATTTTTTCGACATAAATAGCACTAAAGTGTGTTGGAATTTCTTGTACAATTGCTTGTTGGATTAACTTTTTGTCTTGTTGTGCCGTAGCACTTCTTAAGAGAGATAAAATACCAAGAATAATATCGAAGCCTTGCATATATATGTGCATGAACTCAAACGTGATCAAAGAATGTTAACCAAATTTGACAACTATGATCAAATCTTTCCGTTTTACGTGCTAAAATGATGATTGTTAGTGAATTATGATCACTATGTACGTAATGTTTTTTAAAATGAGTTAAAAGAATATATTTTAAAAACTACTTATTATCAGTTTTTGACTGTTGATCGTATGTTAGCAATGGTATCTGGAAATGTGTACATGAGAGTAAACTGTTGAAATTTGACAATACTGATGAAATCCGATGAAATCTGACTAAATGACCGGTTTTATCATTAATAAATTGATGAAACCATGTATTTCGTCAGGCTTTATCAGTTTCGTTAAGTATCATTACATTGGAGATAGGAAAAAAATAGAAAACAGCCATGTTTAATGAATAAGTTGCTGATATCTTTTTTCTGAACAAATTATTCTCAAAATGGCTAAGTTAGAAGGTTATGAAATATGGCATCGGTATTACAATTTATGGTAATACTATAAGTACTGTGATTCAGTAATTACAACCATAACTATATCTTGAATATTACTACTCAATATCTCATTCAGTTTTATTGCATTAACGTATCCAACTAGGGATGTACTGTACTAGTATCGTTTTTCGTTCAACTTTGCCAGTTTTAAAAGGTTTACACAATTAGCTCATAAAAATACTTTATTCAAGATATAAATAAAATTTAATTTTCAAAATTACCCACGAGTATAAATTAGAGGAGAAAGTATTTGGTGTTTAAAATATCTCATTAATTTTATTTTTTCATCTTAGTTCAGTATTAAATTAATTATTTAAAATAAGTCATTTATAGATTGAAATCGTTTAATCTTATTTCAAAACCAAATTACGTTGGTTATACGTAGAATTATTTGAAATCTGACTGAATTAATAATTAAATTATTAAAAAAAAATTTTATATCCCTATTTCACGTTTAAAAATTGCTATATGCTAGAAAATACTAGAAAATACTAGAAAATACTAGAAAATCAAAAATCCTTAAAATTAATCTGAGACGCCAGTGGCGCCCACCTGCTTTAAAGTTAGACTATTTTTGTAAAAGATTATCGTAAATGTTTTATGCTATAAATAATAATAATAAAAATATATTCAATACTACTTATACGTCATTAGACATGAATCTAACAAACGCAGAATTTCATGAACTTGGGAGGAAATATCAAAATGGTATTGGAGTCAAGAAAGATGAGAATAAAGCTTTTGAATATTATAAAAAATCTGCAGATATGGGATATACAATTGCAACTTTTGATGTTGGATATTGTTATTCTAATGGAATTGGAATTGAAATGGATAAACATAAAGCATTCATTTATTATCAAAAATCTGCAAAGATAGGGGATGCGTGTGGAATATTTGCACTTGGTAATTGTTATAAAGATGGAATTGGAATTGAAAAAGATGAATATAAAGCATTTAATTATTATCAAAAATCTGCGGATATGGGTAATGTTGATGGAATGTTTGCACTCGGTAATTGTTATAGAGATGGAATTGGAGTTGAAAAGAATGAACAGAAGGCATTCGTTTATTATCAAAAATCGGCAGAGATGGGAAACGCTAATGGATTGTATAGGGTTGGATGTTGTTATTTATATGGAATTGGAATTGAAAAAAATGAACATGAAGCATTCATTTGTTATCAAAAATCTGCAGAGATGGGGAATGCAGGTGGAATACGTGCACTTGGTATTTGTTATGATAGTGGAATTGGAGTTGAAAAGGATGAACATAAGGCATTCATTTATTATCAAAAATCTGCAGAGATGGGAGACGCAATTGGATCATTTAATGTTGGATATTGTTATCGGGATGGAATTGGTGTTGAAAAGGATGAACATAAGGCATTCAATTATTATCAAAAATCAGCAGAGATGGGGCATGTTAAGGGAATAAATCAGATTGGTATTTGTTATTTGTATGGAATAGGTGTTGAAAAAGATGAAAAGAAAGCATTTGAATATTTCAAAAAATCAGCGGAAATGGGTCATAATAGTGCAATTTTGCAAGTTGGTGACTGTTATCGAAACGGAATCGGTGTACCGAGAGACATACATCGAGCAAATCATTGGTATCGAATGGAAAGAAGTGTAAAAAGAATAAACAAATTGTCATACGAGGACATTGATGATAATTTGAAAGAAATATTAGATGATGAAAAGTATCAACTATCATGGATTCCCTATAACGAATTTAAAAGTATACGAGAAATAGGAAAAGGTGGATTTGCGACGGTGTATTATGCGTTTTGGCACGATGAAAATAGAAAGTTTTGGAGAAGAGTTGCACTTAAATTGATTCATGATTCAAATAAATGCAATCAAGAATTTGTCAATGAGGTAATATTAATGTAATGTAATTAAAATTTTGGGTAATCTTCAATTAATCAATCATAATGTTGTCAACTAATATTTTTTTAAAAAATTTAACTTATTTGATTATATTCTAGTTGAAAAAATTTTGTGAGATCAGATACGATAATCCATCATTCTTAAGATGTTATGGAATATCAAGGGATGTCACTTCTAAAAATTATATAATTGTTTTGGAATATGCGAGTAAAGGTTCTTTGCGTCAAAATCTTCATTTGGTAGCGCAAATGGAATGGAAAAATAAGTTGAATATGTTGTATTGTATTGCTTCAGATCTTGAATCAATCCATTCTCAAGAATTAATTCATCGAGATTTACATTCTGGAAATATCTTGCAAGAGCATTTACATAGTGCTTATATTACGGATCTAGGACTTTTAATATCGTCTACTATGAAGCAGGATGGACAAACTAGTGGAGTCTTACCATACGTAGCACCTGAAGTTTTGATGGGTAAATCGTTTACGCAAGCGGCTGATATTTACGCTTTTGGAGTTATCATGTCTGAAGTATCTACTGGAAGAAGAGCATTTGATGGTGAACCTTTTGATCTTCATCTTTCATTAGAAATTTGTCGAGGAAAAAGGCCAGAATTTGCTAAGGGAACACCAAATTGTTACGTTAAATTGGCCAAGAGATGTATGAATTCGGATCAAAATGAACGACCCACGGCAACTGTAATTGTTAACAAAATTGGACATTGGCTTGATGAGATGAACCAAAAGGATAATAATGAAATCAAAAAACAATACTTGGAAGCCGATAAAATTAAGAATAACATTGAATCACTTATACATCCAATTCACATGTACACTAGCAAAGTCATCAACACGCAAGAAATAACTGATAAATTATCAGATTTGTGTATTTCTGACGATTTATATTAAAATTATTCCAAAATTGTTAAAGAACAATAGAAATAAAATATAATTTTATTTAAAGAAAATTTCGAAACGCAAGTATGTTTGTTAAAAGATGTAGTACAGTATTTCTTTCGCACGTGTTCAGGAATAGTATGTCGTGTGCACCTTGATTGCTATTTCCTTTTTAGGAGTTTGTATTACTGGTACAAATAAGCCGATGCAGCTGCCAGTTTATAAAAATTAATAGCCCTTTTTTTAGTTTATTTATTTTTTTAAAAAAAAGTTGTTCATCGTTAACATTAGATAATGTAAAAAAATTTTAAATCGATCAGTTAGATTATCGATTAGATTACTAAATAAAAAATATCGGATTTTCAAAAATGAGTTATGATGACGGAAGTAGTCATGGAAAGGGTTAATATATTTAAATTATTTAACTTATCTGATAATATTAACTTTGTAAAAAGACAAAATTTAAATCGAAATTATTAGAACTTAATTTTAAAATACAGGAAATGACTAATCATGATTACTTGTACTTTAATTAGGAAGGCGTCATTCCCAAACCGGTTCCGTATGGGAAGATGAAGACAATGCAAAAGATGAAATGTCATGGGATGATATTGAAGAAGAAGACGGTGAAGATAAAAGTGATAGTGAATTTGATGAACCAGAAAGATATGAGGTTGAAAGTGTGATTTCACGTAAAGTTGAGAATGTGCGTTTTTTTAACACATATTATCAGCGAACTTGTAGAAACTGTTTTTTTTTTTCAGAAGATATGCGGTTACTTATGAAAGCTTTATTGTTTACAGGGCAAAGAAAAATTTTTGATTCAATGGAAAGGATATTCTAAACCAACGTGAGTTCCATTTTTGTTAGGACACTTTTTTTCAAGTAATCAAAATAATTCTAACTAAAAATTCTAATATAAAAATGTTTCAAAAAATGTTTCAGCTGGGAACCACGTGAAAACTTAGATGATTGTGCTATTCTCCTCGATTCATTTTACAAAGTAGCCAAAGATACCGAACCTGAAACAAATACACCTACAGGTGTTCCGACTGACGATGATTTCAAACAAAAATTATTAGAAGCTCATCAATCTAGTATGCACTTAAATATCGAACTTTATGATAAGCTTATCCTAAAACGTGGCGTTAAGGATACTGGTGACATTGGTCCTAAGATTGAAAATGTTCCTATGGTTTCTTTTGGCGGGCTAACTAGACAGAATAGTACTAGTTCTAGTAATTCTAGAGGTGTATGAGTATAGTATTTCTTTAAAATCTTTAGAATTTTAACAACATGCGTTCATTTTGTTTTACTTTGTTATAAAATATTTCACATTTTATTACATGCTTGTTTCCATCATTCTTGTTGCTGTAAATAACTTTTACTTACAATCACATCATTTGGTTATAATAAAAATTTAGATGAAATTATGAATGCCTTTATAGGGATTCCATATGTTATTGGCGAAAATAGATGGATATTTCGAACCGCATCACAAACGTAAAGACAAAAAAAATCAAAATGTAGAATATCGGCATCAAGTACGATTAAAGATGTTCATTTATCAAAATTGATGTATTTTATGTACGTACGTATGTACGTAATTACGTATCAGGTACTCTAATTTTAGTTGGTAATCAAAGTAACTGGTGAAGTGTCGTTATTGTATTATTTGCAATATAAAATAAACAGTATTCTTTGTATTACCAATTTAATTGAGTTCATATCAAATATAAAGGAAAATTAGGTCTTATAAATACAATGGTGTTAATACCAAATTATAACGCAAACTTTTTGCAATAATAAATCACCTACTGATTAAAACCAATGGTGGTTATCTATGATTTATTGAAAAGTTACAGTATAAAAATTCAATCTTGTGATTCTAATTGTGGCAGCTGAAGCTAAGATTTTGAAATATTTTAATATTAACTTTTAAAAATTTTTGAGGTCTTTTTTGTTAGCTTTTTTTTAGAATTTAGTTAGGGTTTAGAGGTAGTTTTATTAATAAAAGAGTACAAATGAATTTTAGTAGGTATTATAGATTTAAATAGAGACCTCCTGATCTCAGCTTCACACTAATTATTAAAAAGAACAGGTCTCTGTACACGATTTTATTCTTTAATACCTGTAAATCAATTAGCAAAGCCGAAAGCTTAACCATCACGAAATATATGGCGCGAATTAATGAACTACATTACATCACTAAACTAAAAGACATTGAAAGGTTCCAAGCAGGAAAGAATGTGAGACTTAGGTTAATTGAGCCTCTCTGCTGTCAGAGAAAGCATTAAGCAAAACAAAGAGGGTGCTACATGCAAAATACTTTATTATTAATAATTTATCATATAAATTCAATGACGCAAGACCTAGCAAACTTTGCAAGTCATAAGAGATTTGAGGTGAAATATCGATCTAAAAAAAGATATCCAATCAATAGAGCTCCAATCCGAATCAATCCGTCATCCATTTATCCGATAAGCTATATCCAGATATCCGTTTTTTTAATTCGGATTAACCGAATCATATGATTCTGATCGATAATTCGTGAAATAATTAATTTTTTGACTAGTTATTTTTTTTTTGTCAATTTTCGTCCAGACTCAACTTCGACGTTTCAAAATGTAGTCAAGCAAGTGCTAACTTCAAGTACGACAGTGTTACAGTTTACTCTATACTTTAATAGGCCGTCTGAACTCAAGTGGTTGATAATAAGTAGATATTATATTAGGTAACTTGATGAATTGTCGCTTGAATCATTGTTTAAAGGAATTAAAAAATTAGTATTCTATATTGTATTAAACTAGTACATTACATATCAGTTCTAGCGAGAACTTGCTTGGTGCTTATTTGCGATCTTACGAATTTATTACCATGACAAGATTATTTCAACCAGTCTTGCAGGCTGTAACTCTAGCATTGCTCAGAAAAATAAACTAGACTAATTTGCTAGCTTAAATGTAATTTCAGATACAGATTTCTGGATAAATTATGATTTTTTTTTTAGTGGAAACATCAATACTTTGTCTTTCATCATCATGATCATGCAAAAAAGGTATCTAACAACTATAATTTGATAATAAATTTTTAGCAATTTATTAGATGGTTTGTACAATCAACATATATTGTTAATGCTTTATTCTTTTGTGTTAATAATTTAAAAAAAAGTTTATGATTCTTATTTATTAATTAAATTTATTTTAAATTTCAAATACTTAAGAATTTTTATCATATTTATTTTTTATATGAAATATTTCATCATGATATGAAATCTGAAAATATTTTTTGATTTCAACTAAAAAAAAGATAATTTGTAATTATACAAATAAATCAAATTCAATCTGTAATTATAAACATTGGTAAAATTCATCATGAATAGAACATATTAAGGTTATTCAAAATATACATAAAAGTGATAATTCTGATAATTATATAGTAAAAATAGGTAATTTTGGATTAGTGAGAAATATAGTCTAAGTCACCTTATACTGAATACATAAACACAAGATGGTAGGTTTCTTTAATACAAATAATTGGCAATTCAAGTTTTTTTTTTTATTTTTAACTAGCATTTGTATTAGAATTCACTTGACCGAACTTGAAATTATGTATATGTTGTATTGCTATCTATTCAGTTGTAACAATGCATATTTATTATATATATAGAAAATATTCTAAATAACAAATTTAATAATAATTAGAATTAGAATAATTCTTACAAGAATAATAATAATTTCTATAAAAACAATAATAATTCTTATAATAATTATCATAATTACAAATAACATAATAATAAACATTAATTCTTTTTAAATAAAAAATTTATATATTAGCTATATATAAATATAAAGTATAAATAAGATTGCATTGAGTTAATTTCTTAGTTCTCAATATTACAGCTATTATCATAATTTCTAAAACACCTGCTTATTGCCCAAAATCTTTTTAGTCTTAGTAAATTACTTAACTTTTTGGAAATTACATCACTGTCTTCAGACCTCCAGTCCAGAGTTAGTGATGTAATTTCTGGAGAGTTAGATAATTTACTGAACAACTAAAAGAATTTTGGGTAATAAGTAAATATTTCAGAAATAGGATTGTTAACTTATATATAAATTTATTGTAATTTACCAATCTTAAGTTTACTGTAACTAATGTAAATTACTTGTAAGTTATATAAGTTAATTGACAAATATTGTATATTATATTATTGTTGGTATCAAATTAACTAATAAAACTCTTTCAAACTTTGATTAAATTAATGTTAATGCTAGTAAAAATTGTTAAATGATTTAGCTAGCTTTAAAGTTATATTGTAACTTACAAATAGATTGAGTAAGTTACAGTAAATTATATTATAATTTATATATAAAGTAAGTTGCCAGATATGTTTTAACAACCCTATCCAAAAATTATGATAATAGTAATAAAAATTTTAAAATAGCTCTGACCATTTGGTATTATAATCAGGCTAGGTTATGAAAACAAAAAATTAACTTAACATGGTCTAAGCAAAAAATAAGCATGTGAATGAAAATCTGGAAATGAATTTTAGTTTTTACAATAACAAACTTAGCCTCTAATGAATTATAATATTATATATTAATATTAATAGTAAAATTAGTGCTCTAGTAATTTCAGTAATATAATAATGATTAGACATTTATATTATCACAATTCTTCAGATGTTAAACTTATCATAGTGAAAACTTAGAATTTACTTTCAGGTTTTCACTTTCATATACTAAAATATAAATATTTATATGAACCATATTTGCTATTTAAATTACTACCTTTCGCAATGTCTATATCATTTTATAAGTAAATTAGTAAAATGTTTCACAATATAACATTTAACAAAATCTTAGGATCAGAAAATAAAATACCACTCAAAATTTTTTTTTACATGCTAACAACTCGAATGGTTCAACTAATATTCAATTACAAAAGAGATGAAATATATTGAATCTGATTTTATAATTTACTAAAATATATATTTATAATTTCAAATAAAAATCTACTTAAAATTTGCAAATAACAAATTTTAAGCCTCTGATTTCTAGTTGAAATAAGAAAATTTGTTAAAAAAAGTCTAGTTCATCAAAGTACTTATATAGTAATGAATATCTACTTGGCACTTTTAATACAAATACTGAAATTAACTAATTAAATACAATATAATTAATCAGTCTATCTGTTTACAAATGAAAGTTAATTTTTTTACTTGAATTCATGATGTTAGTATTAGTAATAAATAAATAAATAAAAGAATAATTTAAA